GCCATGGTATTTTCAATAACCTCATATGCATGTGAAAGCTGGACAGTGAGTAAGGAAGACCTTAGAAGCATTGATGCTTTTGAGTTATGGTGTTGGAAAAGAATACTGAAAGTGCCATGGGCTGCCATAAGAACCAACAGATCCATTTTAGAAGAAGGGCAGCCAGAGTGCTCTTTGGAAGCCAAGATGGTCAAACTTCTTCTCTCATACTTTGGACATATTGTCAGGAGGGACTAGTCACTGGAGAAGCACATCATGTTTGGTAAGGTGGAGGGTCAGAGGAAAAGAGGATGACCCCCAACGAGATGGATTGGCCAAGTAGCTGCATCAATGGACTCAAGCGTGGCAACAGTAGTGAGGGTGGCCCAGGATCGGGCAGTGTTTCATTCTGTTGTGCATAAGGTCACTATGGGTCGGTACTTACTTGATGGCACCTAACAACAACAACATTATCAATACCTTTATAAATTCATCTTTGCCTTTGAGGTCTTGGCAATATTACATATAAACTTAAAACATGATTACATCAGTATGTCATGCCCTGTAACAGCATATGCAGTACCAAGGTAAGTCATAAAGTACTGCTGCTAGGGTTTGAGTTCATACACAAGCAATTTTATTCCAAACCAAACGTGTTTAAATATATCTCTGTGATCATATTAGTTGCATAAGGGGGCATTCCAATAAAAGGTTCAACCCACACTGCGGTACCTTAGGCAATCTACTTGGTCAGTTCTATTCAAAGGCCGAGTTCAGCTCAGGTTATGGCAAGTTTTTAGATCTCAAAGAGGTAGTCTTGATAGTTTTTTTGAAAAGACACTGGACAATCAAAAAGTAGAAAACTGCACTGGTTAAGAAAAGGCCAGGAAAGTTGTGCTGAGGAATTTTTTTCCATAAAAATAAAGCACCTGCTCATTCTTCAAGAGCAGCAGGGGCTGTCCTATAAGAGTTTCATTGGTAAATCTTCCCCCATCTACTCTACAACCCTAATCTTGCCCCTCTGAGCTTTTGTTTCCCAAATTCAAATAACATTGAAAATGAACACAATCTAAGTCCCTCAAAGATGCAAAAACTACCATTTTAAAGTGGTATGCATTGACGAGTGCATAATCCTTTGGGAAAGGAAAGAGAAATGGAAACACCACCTTCAGAAGTATATAGACTTAGATGGAAGATAATCTGAGAAATAAACAACAACTTCACATTTTGATAGCTTTGTCTAATAAAGGTTTCTATAACAACACTTTTGGACTCAAATTCTCATATAACTAACGATAAGGGACTTGAAGGGACTCAAATATGTCATTATGTCAGGGACCACGTATATACCAGCAGTCAGTCCTTGAGTTATGAACGTCTGATTTACATACAGTACAACATGTAGTTAAAAATCAACCCCAGTAAAGTCCATTATGTAGAAATTTTGAGGTACTCAAAAATCTCACTATCACAGACTTGATTCCAACTCAGTGATCTTCTATAGACTTTAAATCTGTATGGGAGGAGAAACCCCATCTTTCTCCTGCAGAGTGGCTGGTGTGCCACCGAAGCACCGTGGACCATAATAACAAATAGGTGCTACTTTGTTAGGTACATAAAAACATTGTTATTATTATAATTACTATGTTGTTGTTGTTATGTGCCATGGAGTCAGTTCCAACTCATAGCGACCCTGCACAGGGTTTCTGAGGCTGTAAATCTTTACGGAAGCAGAAAGCCTCATCTTTCTCCCACGGAAGAGCTGGTAGTTTCCAACTGCTGACCTTGAGGTTTGCAGACCAATTTGTAACCACTACGCTACCAGAGCTCCTACAGTACTATGCTAATGATGGTTTTGTGCATCTGGAAGTTTATTTTTTTAATGCATAGAAAGTTACACTATGCAAGGGGACTTCATAAAGTTCATGAAAAAATATAACTAAAAGATAATGGAATTTTTTTCCATGAATTTTTTGAAGACCCCCAGACTAACACTTAACTAGGTGATGTTAGATATGAACCTAACAATTCCAGCTTCTGAACAAAGTCAACTTAAAGACAGATTTGGGGGCACAGTTCATTTGTAATCTAATCGTAGCACTTTAGATACTCACATATGAACACATATATGAGGGAGCTTTAAAAAGTTCACAGAAAAACGGGATTAAAAGATAACAGAATTTTCCCACAAACTTTTGGAAGCCTTCTCATACATAATCTGGATTCAAAGTCCAGAGTGCTTACCATTACACAAGGAGTCCCGGTGTGGCACTTCAGGATAATGAACTGGACTGCAAGGTTGGTTTGAATTGCAAGGCCCGCAATTCAAAGTAACCAGCCACTCCTCAAACACCCTCTATAGGGTCACTGTGAATCAGAACCGACTCAGTGGCACTTAACAACATATATATGCATGCATGTGTCTCTTTAATGGTCAAGGATGCATGTATGGAGCTCTAATTCACTGAGGTGTAATAAGCATTTACTAAGTTTTGATACACTAATTCCCCAACGAGTTTAAAGCCACAACTAAGCAGCCTAATAGTCTTACACCTCAATACATATTATTGATATGCACTACTGTTTGAAATTTATGTCCCAAACACATATAAAAAAGAGAAGACCTACCACAAAGCAAAAAAAAAAGCTTATTTTTGCTACTTGAGTTGCATTAAGTTTCCCCACAGTTTTTAGTATGGACTCTTGTTCTTTCACTGCAGGATATGACATGCGTGACAACTTAGCTTCCAATGCATGGCTTGATGGGAGCTGTCGAATTTCCATAATATTACTGAACCTTACACGAGACTTTTTAGGAGCTTAAGAGAAAAAATACAGAACAAAAATCATTAAATGTTTTCCTTTTTCACCAACAAAAGTCACAAATTTTAATTTACTGAAAAATGCATATTACCTAATAGATGTATGATCAGGCTTAGAGTATAAAAAAATAATCATTATATTCATTTTTCCTAACTTTTTATCGTGATTTGGGTGAAATTTTACACAGAAAATTGGTTTTCCATTCAACAATCATATCCACTTTGATTCGTGACATTAAAATCCTCACAGTGTAACAGCACTCTTCCTTCCTACTTGGTTTGTTCTTTCCTATCCCTTCCTGCCTCGAGCTTTATCTCTGGGCAAATGCTGCCGTTTTGATCTCGTATGGCTGCTCTAAGGGAAATGTACCTCCCAGGTGTTATTGTTCACTGGAGAAACCCATCTATCCTTTAGCTGAAAAATGTGCCATGGAGTGAGTTCAGTTTCAGGCCTGAAAGGTGGCTAAGGGCTATAGGCTCCAAGGCTCCACCAATTATTACTGAGTTTTGTTCTACATTCTGCCCCCATTCTATCCAGGACTGCCTGTTATGAGCCCTTTCAGAGTAGTCAGCAGTAGTAGGCAGGTATCATTCAGTTTGGGCCTTAGGGTCCTAAAGGCTGGTGTTCACTTGGCCCATTATTCCTTTGGACTAATTGTTTCCATGCGTGTTGGCTTTTCTACACTTTTCTTTGCTCTAAATGGGCATCTTAGATGGCCACTCATGAGCTTTTAAGACCTCAGTCGCTATTCACTAAAGTTGCTGCTGCTGAGTGCCATTGAGTCAGCACATTTATATATACACATTATGAAATATCCTGTGAAACCCTATATATTCGTGGGTGTAGTTCCATTCACCTTTACACCCTTGTTTATCTTCAGTGTCTATTCTTAAGTGGGCGGCTTTGCTCATTCAAAGAGGTTAACAATAAAAGTGGTTTCATCTATAAAAATGCTTTAAAGGTTTTAAAATGAGATCACTATTAAAACACTGTTTCTGCAATTGTGTGCATGCACAATGAACTGATCCAGGATTGTAATAGGACTATTATTTTAGCACTTATAGTTAAATCTTATCTGAGTCTTTCCTCGTGGATACCAATTTATGAGAACTACTTTTCGGAGCAAGCAAATATAATATCCCCTACAGACACATTCCTTACACAGAATATTATAGGTAAAGACATTCTTTATAAAATTCTCACAGCCAACAAAGCGCCTATCAGTAACCATCAGTCTTTTGAAGGCATGGTTGAAGACAACGTGTTTATGTAAAAACAAAAAAAATGATGTAGCTCTAGAAGTTTCTGGTATTTGGAAATTAATCCTCATTTAATTAATAAAAAAAAGACTGTACACAAAAAACTTCCAGAAGGTTGCAGACCCAGCCAACATCACTAGACTGAAGACTTGTGTTCACTTATAGCATTATTCCTTTGGACAAATTATTCCCATGCGTCTTAGATTTTCTTCACTTTTCTTTGCTCTAGGTAGGTGAACCCAGTGAACTCACAGAATCACTAAATTTTGGGTGACTTGGATGAAGATAAAATTTCTGTCCATTTCTGATTTATGAAATCCTAAATTTTGCTTACTTTTTTCAGAATCAGTATTTGTGCTGTCAGGCTTTTCACTTGGAAGATCATGAAATTTCACAGGAACATACAGAGGTTCACTCTGGAATGTTAACAGATACAGATTAAAAAAAAATAAGCAGCAACTATCATAGCTGGTATCTTAGAAAAAAATTAAGTGGATGGTAGACACAGATACTATCCCCAAAATGGGTTTGCCACCATATTTAAAAATCATAAATTTCCCAAAACCAATTTTTAAGGCTTAAAACGGAAATCCAACTGATCTACACAGATACAATGACAAAAAAGAACCTGTTTAAAAGTAGTAATTTAATAAAGCATCATTGTCACATTACAATATATAATATTTAAATGTCATAGAAACAGACCCTTCAGCTCACAGATTATTTTCCATCTCTTTGCACTTGGTCTATTAACAAATACACATTGAGCCTCCACTCTGTCAAGCAATGTTCTAGGTCCTGGAGAGACAAGAGTGAATAGTACAGAGTTTCTGTCCTTACTGAACATATATTGCAAAGGAGAAGGTAGTTGGTTATATTAGTCCTCACAAAGACCTCCTCAAATACCTATTACAAAACAAGCTGGAATATAAAACAACAAAATGGAAGACACAGAATTAAGTCAGGTTTTTCTGACCATGCTGTAAAGCTCAATTTTTTAGGTGTGTCTAAATTAATCAATTACTTAGGCAAATGTTCTTCCAATAATCTCTATTTAAAACACATCTTTTCAACTAGGCTGTTTCTTGAATTAACAGAATATACTTCTACCTGTTTGATTTCTCCTGGCATAGAAGGTAGCTAATGGTAAAAACTCAATAAACTAAGAGACTACAGAATTTGGAAATAGACAAGTCTCTTTGTTATACTGACCTCTTCACTGCAGCATTTGGAACTTGCTAGCCCACAATTGCATGAGCCATTTCTTTAAAGTAAATTTCTCTAGATATCTATTTATATATACCTCATGAGTTTTTTCTGTAAAGAATCCCAAATAAAACATTCACTCTCCAGTTAAGATTGTCAATCCTTAAAATAAGTATGTTAATTACTTCATTTATAAATTGTCTGACAATAATCGACGCATAATCTCACACTGAAGCCCTGAAGGAAAAAGCACTGGACCACAAGGTTGGTTTAAACAACAAGGGCAGTGGTTCACACTCACCAGTCACTCCTTGGAAACCCTATTCAGGGTCACTATGAGTTGGAATTGACTTAACGGCACTTAACAACAAAAAAATAATTGTCATGTTGGAACATAACCTGTATTTCTGTATATCCAGAACCTAAAATAACTGCCTAACACATGCTGGTGGTGGTAGATGCATGCGACTTACAGTGACCCATATAGGGTTTCTGAGGCTGTAAATCTTTATAGCAGCAGAAAGCTTCATCCTTCTCCTAAGGATAATTACTGATCTTGAGGTTAGCAGTTCAACATGTAACCCACTACACCACCAGAGCTCCTTTGTAACATATATTGTTGTTGTTGTTAGATGCCATCAAGTCAGTTCCAACTCATAGTGACCCTATGCACAACAGACAGTAGGTACTCTAATAATATTTACGGGAGAAATAAAAATCTGCATAAAAATTCTCAGTGTCAAGCAAAAACATCTGTTTGTAAATAATAATATAATGAAGAACATGAAGTGGCAAAGTTGGTAAGAAACAAAGTACTGTCCTTTACTCTGTCCATTCCTTAATTATCCTCTCCTCCCACCCCCTACCCTGCCATGCTGAACAGCTTACCTCTAGCCCCAGATATTCCTAAGGAGAGAAAGACTAAATGACCCTTCTCATGGAGGGCAATGCTGAGCTCTATCTACAGCCTAATACTGCTATGGAGTCATTACAGCTGATTCAGTCCTCCCCGCCAGAGCTCAACTCTATCTGCTCTCTTCTTTTTTAATTTGTTACCATTTCCATTTTTGATGAATAAAGAAACACTTACCAAACAACTATTCATAGTTGTATCTGTTGTGCAAGGAGCAAAATAACCTTCAGCATCTGTAAACTAAATACAAAAAACAGGATATCAAATTCAGTTAAAACTGTTTTATAAAATAATACTAGTCAGGCACAGACCAGAATCTGACCAAAAATCCAGAATAGACCTGTAAGACTATAAAATTAAAAACCATGTTGCTGTTCAGTCAATTCCCGTTGTAGCACTCCTATAAGACAGACCAACTCCCATGAAGTGTCCAAGGCTGTAATCTTTACAGACAATTGCCACATCTTTCTCATGCAGAGTGACCAGTGGGTTTCAACTTCCAGCCTTTTGGTTGGCAACAGAGTGTTTTAACCACTGTAGCTCAGGGCTATAACTATTAATAATAATGGAAGCCATTATTCATGCCAAGTATTCATCCAAATGGTGGTGGTGGTGGTATCCCGTGGAATCGATTCTGACACATAGCGACCCTATATAGGGTTTCCGAGGCTGTAAATCTTTACTGGAGTAGAAAGCCTTATCTTTCTCTTGATTTAACCAAATAAGGCAGGAACCATCATCTTAATTTTGCTAATGAGACTGGGACAAAAATTAGTTTTAGCCTTTTATATGTGGTTTCTGAAATCGCCTGGGCAATTAAGATGCTCTGTTATCCAAAACAGCAAGGTAAGTAGGGACTCCACAGACTCCACATCTATCAACTAATATCAGGAAGAAAGGGGGCATGAGGAGTTTTGTGTATTAAGACTGGATTGATCATAACCATGCGTTAAGGTCCCAATCATGCAGATTCATTGAGGTCCTGATGATTAGGGTACTCTGGACTTTGTAGGTCTCTCTTCAGGGCTTTCTGGATTGGTGAGAACATCCACACCTTGAAGAGAGTTCAGCAAGAAACCCTTATACTAGGGCCTTTCCCAGACCTGACCAGATGACTATCTGATTGTATATTTCTTATTATAATAAATCAGTTGCTATAAGTATAAATCCTACCAGTTGTCTGTAAGTTTGTCATATTGTATTGACTTGTGTGTTGCTGTGATGCTGGAAGCTGTGCCACCAGTATTTTAAATACCAACAGAGTCACCCATGGTGAACAAGTTTCAGCAGAGCTTCCAGACTACGACAAACTAAGAATAGGGAGAAGCAGACCATTTCTGAATGGTTAGCCACTGAGCCACTGAAAACCTTATGAGTAGCAGTGAACACTGTCTGATATAGTTAAAGATGATAAAAACATTATGAACAGCAGTAAAACATTATCCAAAATAGTGCTGGGAGATGAGCCCCTCAGGTTTGAAGGCACTCAAAACAAAACTAAGGAAGAGCTAACTCTTCAAAGTAATTATTGTTATGTTGTTTGGTACCATTGAGTAGGCTCTAAACCATTGTGACCCTTTGCACCATAGAACAAAACACTGCCCAGTCCTGTAACATTCTCACAACTGTCATTAGGCTTGAGCCCACTGCTGCTGCTATTGCATCAATCCACCTCGTTGGCTGTCTTCCTTTTTATCACTAACCTTACACTTTAGCAAGCAGGATGTCCTTCTCTAGGGACTGGACCCTCTTGATAACATGTGCAAAGTATGAGAGATGAAGTCTCGCCATTCTAATTTTAAGGAGCACTATGGCTGTACTTCTTCCAACACACACCTTTTGTTCTTCTGGTCTCTTAATGATTTAGCAGACAAGTGCTCATTAAGTACAGTCACAGTTTCCCTAAGTGTTGAGAATTATTAAGAGACAGAATTATTAACACACTCACAGAGGCAGGCAATACAGAGTTGACTTGTATAGACACCACTCTAGATGGCTACATGATAGAGAAGGTTGCACGGCAATGAATGAAGCATAGAGTTCTTCTAGTTTGTGACCTAGTTCCAGGGGACTACAGAGAGAGGAAGGCCAGATGGTCGGAAGTGCAAAAGTTATGCAGACTCTTAAGCCTCTGGTTGCCCCAATGGCCTGGGCTCAGGTGGCCAGGGATGTATTCAATCAGTTCAGGGTAGCCAGGGATGGGGTCTGATCTAACTCTGGGTGGTTATGATCTGAAGAAGTGTTCTGGGCAAAGAAGTGGCTAGTGATAAGGAGTGGAAAGGTGAGATGGTAAAGACTGGATCCATTTTTCAGGTAGGAACTGGATTCAAGCTGATCTCTGCCATACTGACTGTGACACAGATACAGCTTTAATACTCGGTTGATGAACTGGACTGTAAGGTTGGTTTGAATGGCAAGGTCAAAGGTTCAAGCTCACCAGTGTCTTCACCACTAGATCAATAAATAATATCATTGGAAGTACAGAAAAGATCAAAGTTGTCAGACTTAATTTTGTTTAGATCTACAATCAACACTTGTGGAAGCAAGAGTCAAGAAATCAAATGATGTATTATATTAGGCAAATCTTCTGCACAAGACCCTATAGAGGGTTCCTAAGGAGCAGCTGGTGTGTTTGAACCGCGGACCTTGCAGTTCAAATGGCTTTGCAGCCTAGCGCATTAACCCACAGCACCACACCAGGACTCCATGTTATATTTTATATTTATATGTTGTTGTTATGTGCCAGGGAGTCAGTTCCGACTCATAGGGACCCTGTACAGGGTTTTAAAGGCTGTAAATCTTTATAGGAGAGAAAGCCTCATGTCTCCCGCGGAACAGCTGGTAGTTTCAAACTGCTGACCCTGAGGTTCGCAGCCCAATTCATAATCACTATGTTACCAGAGCTCCATAGATAGATAGATAGATAGATAGATAGATAGATAGATAGATAGATAGATAGATAGATACAGAGATATATTTATAATTTCATGTCATACTCACAGTAATCCTAACATTCTCAATGCTTTACAAACAAACTAAGGTGCAAACCCAAACCCACTGCCTTCAAGTTGATTCCAATGCACACAAGCAATCCTAGAAGACAGAGCTACTCTATAGGGTTTCCAAGGCTGTAATCTTTCCACAAGGAGTTCTGGTAGCATAGTGGCTATGAATCGGGTTGCAAACCACAAGGTCAGCAGTTAGAAACTACCAGCTGCTCCATGGGAGAAAGATGAGGCTTTCTGCTCCCATAAAGATTTACAGTCTCGGAAACCCTGTTCAGGGTCGCTATGGGTTGGAACCAACTCGACGGCACTTAAGAACAAGAACAATCTATACAGAAGCACACACACATATCTTTCTCCTGCAGGACAGCTGGTGGGATTGAACTGGTGACCATTTTGTGCTTTAACCATTGTTGTTGTTAAGTTACGCTGAGTCGATTCTGACTCATAGTGACCCTGCATAGGGTTTCCAAGGAGCAGCTGGCGGGTTTGAACCACTGATCTTACAGCTCCACATCAGGACTCTGCTTGATCCACTACACTAGATAAGTAACTTGCCTTAGGTCATACAATTGGCAAGTGACACTGAAGGATTCAAATACCAGAGAGCAATCTCATAAAATCTGCAAGAAAAAAACAAAAGGATTCCATGTAGAAAAATGGACAAGACAAAGGCAACTCAGAAAATAATTCCATACTGGTTAACAGATATCTTAAAAAGTAAGCAAATACTTTCAGATTAAGGCAAGACACTACTGTTCACCTATCAAAATGGCAAACATTCGGGGTTTGGTAAGAATTAACGCTAATACACTGCTAATAGAAGTATGCAGAGTCCTGGTGTGGTGCTGTGGGCTAATGAGCTGCATTGCAAACTCATTTGAGCCGCATGGTCAGTGGTTCAAGCTCACCACTGACCCTAGAAACCCTATACAGAGGTGCTATGGGTCGGAATCGACTCGACGGCACTTAACAACAATAACAGAGGTATGAAGTGGTGCAACCATTCTAGAAGGTAATTCAGCAGGAGGAATCAAAGGCTTAAAAAAATGACTTTACTCTTTTATCCAGCAATTAGGCGTTCAGGAATTTATCTTACATATATGATATAACTGTGTATAAAAAAGTTCCTATCCATTTATATCAAAAGAATACATAAAAAGACCCTGACAAAACTCTGAGTATATGAACACATTCCTCAACAATGTATTTATTAACTAAGACAAGAAAAACTATTTTAGCTTCAAAAAACAGTACAAATAAAGGAATTAATGAGACTTTTTTTCATATTTTGCATCTCAAAATTCAGTTTCTACTTCTATCAGGGCAATATGTATCACTGAGCAAATTACAATTTCTTTCAACACCATGAATCAGTAGGTTAAGTTAACTCAATGGAAGAATATAATTTGATTATCCATATCATCTGGAAAGTTGTCCTGTTGGTGTAGAGGTAAAGCACTCAGCTGCTAATCAAACGCTTGGTGGTTCAAACCTACCAGCTGCTCTGCAGTAAAAAGATGCGGCAATTTGCTTCTGTAAAGATTACAACTTTGGAAATGCTATGGGCAGTTCTACCTTGTCCTATCAGGTTAGAATTAACCTGATGGTAACACATCTGTTAATACCAAACTGAAATATACTCTAAAAATATATTTTCATTTTAGTCTGTAAAGCAATTATTTTGAAACTATCTTGAGAAACCATATATCCAACAAAAATCTAATACCAAAATTATGTATATATACATATACATATTTATATGTGTATATGTATAAAGGAGTCCTGGTGTGGTGCTGTGGGTTAATGTGCCAGACTGCGAAGTTGTATGAACTACAATGGCGGTTCAAGCTCACCAGCTGCTCCTCGGAAACCCTCTACAGGGTTGCTATGGGTTGGAACTGACTCTACTGCACTTAACAACAAGAGCATATGTATAAAACTTCACAACAACAAAAGCACAAGTATCGCCATCATTTGTTATTGCTAAGGTGCTGTCGAGTTGATTGCGACTCACAGCAACCCTGTATAGGGTTTCCGAGGAGCAGCTGGTGGGTTTGAATCACTGGCATGTGGTTCGCAGTCCAGTGCTTATCCTACAGTGCCACACCAAAAGTCACAAGCATAAAATGGGCATATTACTAAAAGACATTTCATCAAAGAAAACCTTCAAAGGGCTACCAAATACAGAAAAGATGTCCAGCATTATTAGCCATGAAATATGTTAATCAAAACTAGCATGTTACACCTTTTCATTCACAATAGGATGGCTAAGGTGCTGGAATGGTGTTGTAAGACTTTGCTAATTTCAAAGTCCACAGCTCAAACCTACCAGCTGCTCTGGGAAACCCTACACAGGGTGGCTATGAGTAGGAGCTAAGTGACACAACAACAAACAAGGGTGGCTAAGAAAAAAAAAAGAAGCAAAACAACAAATTTTAATTTGGATGTGAAGAACTGGAACCCCCCAGGGGGCAGTGAGTATACGTTAATGAGGGAGGATCAACTCACAAAAGGAGGGCGAGAATGGTTGTACAATTCAAAGGATTTGATAAATGTCACGAAATTATACATTGGTGGTGGCTGTGTGCTGTGGAGTGGGTTCCAACTCATAGCGACCTTGTACAGGGTTTCCGAGGCTGTAAATCTTTACAGGAGCAGGAAGCCTCATCTTTCTCCCACAGAACAGCTGGTAGTTTCCAACTGCTGACCTTGAGGTTAACAGCCGGATTCGTGACCACTACGCTACCAGAGCTCCTTAAATTATACATTTAGAACCTATTAAATAGGTGTACGCTTTGCTATAAACATTCTCAATAATAACAAACAAAATTTAGAAAGACAATTTATTTCTAGTATCACCCTATCAACGAATTAAATAATAGTCAGTCTGCAAATAAGTAAAGATTCTAGATATTCTTATTCCTTACTTTGTACCACTCTTCCCAGATTAACTAATTTTGGCTAATTTAATTATTTTTTAACAACTTCAAAAAGATGTGATGGGGCAAGAAGAAAGCAAGTAATCATGCACTTTTCATTTTTCATAAGCTATTCTGATAGCACTAACCAGACCATAAACTTAAAATTTTAAACAAAAGCTGATGCTTCTTGTATCATGCTACTTTACTCACTTACCTGAACTTACATCTGACTATCCTTACATAAACTAGTGTTAATCACATTTAAACTCTGAAAAATATATTCTCTTCCCATCAGACAACTAAAATTAAAAGATAAAATAACAACTTACAAAAGCAGCATGTTTTCCTCGAAATCCTCTTGTACACTGTTGTCTCCAAGGCTTCCAAATAACAAAGCCCAAGAGGTATAGAACAAACATAGACGTTTTTGCAAAGGTACTGAAGAATGGTTTGTTGTACTGGGTAAAAACATACTGTAGAGAAAAATATTACAGACAACTATGAAATGGCCTTAAATCTTATTACCCATTTCCAAAAACAAAAAGGGTTATCAACGATTTTTTTTAACTCCTTAGAAATTCATTTGGAAGAACAAGATCAAAAAGAATTAAAAACAAAATTTAGATTCATTACTGAATACTCTTTATTGTCTTGCATACAAACAACATCCTCAAATAAAACAACAACAACCTGTTAAAAATAAAAGTTTTGCTCAGCATTCAGTGAAAACCTACTCTTCACTAGGACCTGTTTTGGGGGCTAAAGAATAAAACAGATTTTCCTGCCCTTGAGGAGGTTGTCATCCAGTAGATGAGATGTATGGGAAAAGAATACAATACAGTAAATACCGTAATAGGAATATGCATGGAAGTTATGGGTGCATGGAAGCTTGACAGAGCAACTGAAGATTATGGAAATGTCCCAAGAGAGGAAATTCTTGATCTGTATCTACAGGACTAAATAAGAATTAAACCTCAACAAAACACAACTCAAAAAAATAAACATCTTTGTAAAGATGTAAAAAAAACATCTTATTCCAATTCACAGGGACGCAGCAGGATACAGAACTGCCCCATGGGGTTTCCAAGGCTGTCAATCTATGGAAGCAGATGATGGGTTCAAACTGCTGACCTGCTAACTAGAAGTTAAGCACTTTAACCATTGTGCTACCTGAATTTCTAGAATTACCCAAGCAGAGGAAATAGCATAAAAAAAAGGAAGCAAATCACAAAAGAGAATATTATGTCAGGAAAATTGCATCTAGTTTAAATTATTAGGTATTTATATAAAACTTATAATCAATCACAATGGAATAGTCAATCATTCTATATCAAAAGGGCAACATCTGAGAAGGGATGGGAAGGTGGGTAATAAATAGGAACCACAGGGAGAAAGTGGGATAACTGTTGCTACATGGAAGGGATTGCAATCACTGAGATAAAACAAAGTGTATGGTTTGTTGAACGTAAAACTGATGATATTCTCTGTAAACTTTCACTCAATTTATTAAAAAAAAAATAAAATAAAAAGGAAAGATAAAAAAACTTATAATCATCATGTAAGCTGTAAATATCAGTAAAAACTCATAAAATTTTGGTGTCCTGAAAAAATTTAGTAAAAATAATCCCTAGTTCCGCGCACTGAAAAGGCTTAGAAGAAACAACAACCCAAGAGGAACGAGCACCTCCAAGACTCAGATGGATTTTCTGAGAAGCACTCAGCTGCTAACCAAAAGGTTGGAGGTTTGAGTTTACCCAAAGGTGCCTCAGAATAAAGGCCTGGCAATTTCCTACTGAAAAAGCAGTCATTCAAAACCCTATGGAGTACAGTCCTACTCTGACACACATGGGTAGGTTCAGCATGAATTGGTATTAACTAACTATACAGAATAAGGTAATTACACAAGTAGAAAGAAAAATCAGCTTATGAACTTAAAATATCCTATTACTTCTGGTAGGTGGCTGTAGGAACAGCACTGGACTGCAAACCACAAAGTCAGTAGCTCAAACCCACCAGCTGCTTCTTAGAAACCCTGCACAACAGGGGTGGGGAACGCCCAGTCCAAGGGGCATATAAGGTCAACAAAATCATTTGGTCTGCCTCTGCCAAGGCAATCACAGTTCCAACTATAACATTTTACAGGCTAACGTTTAAGTTGATCATTTTGTTTGGCCCGCAAATTACGTTACAAATATCCAAAGGGCCCTTGGCAGAAAGTTTCCCCACTCCTGCTTTACAGGGATGCTGTGAGTTGGAAACGATTTGATGGCACTTAACAACTATCATCAACAAGGACAAAATAAAACATAACGTAAAAGCAATCACTGTATACATAATGTGCATTTCACAATGTTTGTTTGAGTCAGCAAACATATAAGCATGCACGTGCTGATCCAGGTACATTAACAGTGACCTGTACAAGAAAATTCAGATTGCATTACTCATTTTTCATTGTTCACAAAAAGTCTTACTTTCTATTAATTGGTGACAAATTGTTTTGTATTCTGGATGGTTGCTCCACTAGAAAATAAGATTTATAGAAAGAAGATTGAATTTTTAAAAGATCAATGAAACATCTTCAAATATTAAGAAAATATGTACATAGCCTCTAATCATTCTTCCTAAAAAACACATAAAAACTGCATGAAACAACAAAGAGTATCCTTTCAGTTTCAACTTGAACTCACATTAGTTAAATCTCAAAGAAAACATAAATGTCTCAACAACATCCAAAATCTGAAACATAGCAATGGTTAAGAACTCCTACAGGTTAACGGTACTATTACTACTATAATGTAACATCATTCCCATAAAAGAATTACCTACCGAAGTAAGTTCAGAGGAAGCCACCCATATCACATCAACAAGTAAGAGAATAACAATCCCAAGAGCCATTCGCCTGCGCTGAGTGAAACCACTGCTCTGAGAATTCATCCGCTTCATGATAAATACACACACCATTTGCAGTCTGGTTTTTAGAAATACAGATTCCATTAGAGACGATTTTAGAAAAATAACCTTATAAAATGAGAAAATTAGTACAACAGAAACAAATGGCGTTCATTAGAAACACCAGAGAGTAATATTTAGGTGTGAAACTTACCTGATTTTAAGGGCTTTTCTGATGTCTTCAAAAGTACCTGAAAACGTGGCAGATCTCAGTCTAAAAGGAGGTGAAGAACTCAGTACACCTAAAAATAGCAAAATGACGTTTATGAAAATGTCAAAGTTCAAAATAAGATTTATCACGTTTTCTACTCTTTACATAGAAATGCGAGGGGAGCCGGGACACTAAAATGCATTAAATATAATTGAACACTCTTCTAGACTTTGATGCTTCGTCTCTCATACCTGGGACATATTGTCAGGAGGGACCAGTCGCTGGAGAGAGAGATCATGTTTGTTAAGGTGAAGGATCAGAGAAAAAGATGAAGACCCCCAACGAGATGAATTAGCGGATTAGCCAAGTGGCAGCATCGATGGACTCAAGCGTGGCAACACTAGTGAAGTTGGCCCAGGATGGGGCAATGTTTCGTTCTGCTGTGCATAAGGTTGCTATGGGTCGGTACTGACTCGATGACACCTAACAACAACAACAACTGTACACTTTACATTATGGCCTGAAAAGTACCTGGCAACGGCATATTTACCTACAGTTTGTTGTTGTTGTTGTTAAATGCCGTCGAGTTAGTTTTGACTCACAGAGACCCTCCCTGTTTCTGAAGCTGTAAATTGTTTTGGAAACAGAAAGTCTCTTCTTTCTCCCGTGGAGTTACTGGTGGGCTCGAACCGCCGACTTTGTGGTTTGCAGTCCAGTTTACTGCTGGAAAATAGTTTCTCAGAATTTCATAAACACAGAACACCATCTGCGTCTCCCTCTAGAGGAATCCACTCCAGGGACAAAGTCTAGACAGGCGCCTGTTCCTAAAAGTGCCTTCCCCGTCCTCATCTCCTCCAGAGGAGCTCGGATATTTGAGACGAAGTGATTTGTTGTGGGTTTTGGGGCACCTTTCCAGTCACCTCAAGAGCTAAGGGGAAAGCATCCGCCACACTTCCCCACCAACCTTTCACTTGTGGCCTTTGTTGTTATCACCGAGTCGGCTCAGACCCATAGTGACCCTGCGTCGGGTCTCCATGGAGCTGCAGGTGGGTTTGAACCGCCGACCCTGAAGTTAGCAGTCCAGTGCTTATCCAAGAGCGCCACACCCCTGTCACGCCATCTCGTTATTTTAGATCAAAACAGAACCTCACGAGGGGCCGAGGGGAGGAAACAGCTGTTAAAAGGGCCCCTCCTCCTTAAAGGGGCGGGGGAGAGGGGGGAGCCACAGAAAGTTAGGGCAGTTATGTCTTCCTAGACTGGGTCAGCGCCCTACGCGGAGACGACAGTACTCGCAGCTTCCTCAACATTCCACCGAGTATGGGGCGCCCTGGACAGACTCCCCTCACCCGGCCCTAGAGACCCTCCCCAAATTGGTCACGGCACTTCGGCTACCACCAAGGGCTGCAGGTAGGACTGCTTGCTGACCCTCAACACCAGTTTCGGCTTGGGTGGTTTGCAGCCCTTCCTGCTTGCCTACCTGGCCTTCCTGCCCCACGATGGCGTCGTGGCGGCACCATGAGCAGACCCAGCCTGGTACTGCCGCCGCCCAGCGCCGCGGCTTCGGCCTCACAGAGCTGTCGCCGCGCCCGGCATTGCTCCGCGCTGGAGGCCGAGCCCCTGAGGCTGAGGTGCACCTTGGAGCTATGCCTTTGACGCCACCCGGCTCCGCTCAGCCCTGGAGGGCGAAGAGCGGGAGAGGGGAACGGACCGCTCACACAGCGATGGCCGCTGAGTCCCGGAGCTCGGTCCTGACAGCGGTCCCGCCCCCGACCAGCCGGCCGGCCCCGTGGCCCCGCCTCACTTCCTGATGGCGACGGCGCGCCGAGTACGTCACGGAAGCGCGACGCAGACTGCGGTGGATGCGTTTCCCAGACTACGTGGTGGCTTGGAGCGGGAGGCCAATGGCTTTATTGGGGAGAAGTGGGAGGAAAGAAGAAGGGCTGAGAGGCTAACTCTGAAATGAAAAGGGGCGTGGGTTTAGGAGACTGAGTAAAAAGGAAGGAAGAAGACGATGCACCACCTGGCCCATTCTTAAAACGAAACTCATCAACTATTTCTTACTAAGATTAGCCACCAACACTTTCGATCCACTTTCTTCAGGAGAGAACCGAAAACCAAAGTGGCTTGGGAGTACTTTTGCTTCCTAGTTCCTTTGGCATGTAAGCTACATATTACTTACGTGAGTTACCAGCTTGACTCTGAGGTTTCGCATCTGAAAAATAGAACCTGCTTCATCCAGTATTCATCTAGTACATGAGTTTACAAATGTGAAGGGTTTCAATCAGTTCATGACACATGATTGCTATTGTTAAGTGCTGTCGAGTCGGTTTCAACTCATAGCGACCATGTATAGGGTTTCTAAAGAGCTGCTGGTGAGCTTGAACCACCAACCTCGCAATCCAGCGCATTAACTCAGTGCACCACACCAGGAATAAAAGCCCCTTAAACGTTGTTAGGTGCCTTCAGTAGTTTCCTACTCAGTCACCCTACGCACCACAGCAAGAAACACTGCCCAGTTCTGAGCCACCTTCACAATAATTGAGTTTGACCCCACTGTTGCAGTCATTGAGTCAATGCATCTTGATAGGTGTCTTCATCTTTTTAGCTGATGTCCTTTTCCAGAGATTTGGTACCTCCTGATAACGTGCCTAAAATACATGACACGAAGTCTCCTCAAACTCTTTAGAAGCTGTCTGACTGTTCATCCTAGACAGAGGTATTTGTTTTTCTGGCAGTCCACTGTACTTTCTCTATTCTTCATCAACACCACAATTCAAATGCATTCATTCTTCTCCAGTTTTTCTTACTCTCTGCCCGGCTTTCACATGCATATGAGTCTACTGAAAATATCTTGACTTGGGTAGTGTTGTTAAGCTCCAATGAGTCTGTTCTGACTCGTTGTTAAGTGCTATCCAGTCGACTCTGACCCATAGTGACCCTGTATAGGGTTTCCAAGGAGCAGCTGGTGAGCTTGAACCACCGACCTTGCAGTTCAAATGACTTTGCAGTCTGACGCGTTAGCCCACAGCGCCACACCAGGACTCGGTTCTGACTCATAGCGACCCTGTATAGGGATTCCTAGAAGCTGCTAGTGGGTTTGAACTGCTGACCTTTCAGTCAGTGCAGTCTTGCAGCACCACACCAGGACTCCATCAAAGTGACATTTTTTGCTCTGTAACACTTTAAAGAAGTTTTGTGAAGCAGGTGTATTTGTCCAATAAAACACATCATTTGATTTCTTCACTGCTGCTTTAATTGTAGATCCAAGTAAAATAAAATTCTTGAAAATGTCTTTTCTCCATTTATCACAATGTTTATTAGAATGGTGGTTAAGAATTTTTCTCCGTATAGACATACACTCCATACTGAAGTCTGTAGTCTTTGGTGTTCATTAGTATTTTCAGCCCTCTTGGCTTCCAGCAAGCAAGACTGCGTCATCTGCATATTGTTATTGTTGTTGTTAAGTGTCATCAAGATGGTTCTGACCCACAGTGACCCTGTTTACAGTTTCGAGAAGAAGCTAGTGAGCTGCATATAGGAGGTTGTTAATGAGTCTTCCTCCAAACCTGATACTATGTTCTTCATATAATTCAGCTTTTCAGATTTTCTGCTCAGTATGTTGTTGTTAAGCGCCATCGAGTCAGTTATGACCCATAGCAACCCTGTATAAGGTTTCCGAGGAGCAGCTGGTGAGCTTGAACCACCGACCTTGCAGTTAAAATGGCTTTGCAGTCTGGCACATTAACCCACAGCGCCACACCAGGACTCCTTTGCTCAGCATAGACTGGATAAATATGGTGAAAGGACATCGCCCTGGAGCACACCTTTCCTGATATTAAACCATTCAGTATCCCCTTGTTCTGTTCAAATGGAAGTCTCGTGGTCTATGTACAAGTTCCTCATGAGCACAATTAAGTGTTTTGGAATACTGGTTCTATACTCTGATATCCATAGTTTGCCATGATCCACACAGTGAATCATAATAAAGTACTTCTTTTTAATATTTTCTGCTTTCAATCAAGATTCATCTGACATCAACATGATATTGTTACTCATCCTCTTTTGAATCTGACTTCAACAACTCTCAAGAACAAGTTTCAGAGTCTCTTCAGACATCCATCTTTGTCTTTTTTTTACCGTCTTTTTAGTGATCTGTTGCTTTCTTCATTAATGTCATCTCATAAATCTTCTGGTCTTTAGTCATTAGTGTCTAATATATCAAATCTGTTCTTGAGATGGTTTCTAAATTCAGATGGGAAATGTTCAGGGTGATATTTTGACTCTCCTGACTGTGTTTTAATTTTCTTCAGCTTCAGCCTGAACTTGCATATGAACAGTTGATGATCTGCTCCACAGTCTGCCCCTTGTCCTAGTTTGGCTTTTCTGTATTGTCTCTTCCCAAAGATGTAATCAATGTGATCCCTGTGAATTCTCTCTGTTGAAGTCCATGTGTAAATAGTCACCTTTTGTTTTAAAAAGATATTTGAAACGAATAAGTCATTGGTCTTTCAAAATTCTATCCTGGGCTCTCCAGCATCATTTCTATCACCTTCGTTCCCAAACTTTATATTCCAATCACCAGTAATTATCAATACATCTTGATAATGTTTGATCATTTCAGACTGAAGAAGTTGGTACAATTAATTCTTCAATTTCATCATCATTGGCTTTGTTGTTGTTAAGCGCCATTGAGTCAGTTCTGACTCGTAGCAATCCTGTATAGGGTTTCCAAGGAGCAACTGGTGGGTTTAAACCACCAACCTTGTGGTTCACAGTCCAATGCTGATTCTACAGCACCACACCAGGAGTCCACCACTCCCTTTTTTATGTAAATTTGAATAATGAGGGTATTAACTAGTGTTCCTTGTAGACATATGGGTAATCTTCTATCACTGACAGTATTGTATTTCAAGATAGGTTTTTTTTTTTTTTTTTTTTTTTTTTTTTGGTAGTCCATGGTACTTTCAATATTCTTCACCAACACCGTAATTCAAGTGCATCAATTCACTTTAGCTTTTTTTTTTTTTTTTTTTTTTAAATGAAGAAACTTTTGACTGAAGTTTTTCTGAGGGGCTAAATTCCCTGAAAAATGATCAA